AGATTAGTCTGCTGGGCACATCGGGCCTCTCTGGATCGTACATTGAGCAACGAGGACACTGATTCCTACACGGGCCTGGAACTTGAGCCAGTATTGCGGAGACCTGCTCGTGTTTCAATGTTTTCTGTTGAAGAGGCACCACACCACACTGTAGCAGTTGAAGCTAGCGCACTACGATTGTAAGATGGAAGGCCTGGTGGTGTGAGCTACCTTTTGTATTGGGTTGACCGCAGAGGAGGTAGTTTGACGACCCATTTCATATGTAATTTGAGAATTTCTTTAAATATCGATATATGGTGGTTTATATGCCTATTGTCCCATATATATGGCGAATGTGTAGCGGAAAAACTTGGTGTACAATGTGCGTGTTTTACTCGAAACGGAATCACGCCAAAAGGAGAATCTGCCTGCTCTGGTCTCGCCTTACTAAGTTGCACTTGTTCGAATTATATAAGTTATAATTTAATATAGGCTTGGTAGGTTGTTACTGAACCTTTCTGTAGAGGGTAGAAACCCCTCCTTGTACTCCTTTCTCTTCCTAATCCAACCCTCTTTTCTCTCGACACTCTCGTCCAGCTCCTAGCTAAACCCCGCCGCCACATTCATGGCGGCCTTGTTCCTGCCTAGCATCCTAGCCTAGAGCTACTTTAACAGCACTAACCTCACTCCCCGTACTGTAATCGTCGTCGCCTCGCGTACCGTATTCTCCCGGATATAGTACCCTAGGGAGCTAATAAAAAGTCATGAAAATTTTGGGGTGGGTGGAATTAAAGGCAAAAAATATATAAGACCATAGTTCTATGGAACATGCATATGCGTTTTTCAATTCCAAAATAATTGTGCATGTTACATCTCTTTATTTTGTGTCACATCAACATCTCGTGTCCTCATCGCGTACCCTACTGGTGGCCCTTCTGCTTGTCACATCGTCAGCTAAACTACGTAGTAGAGTCAAAGGCGAGGCTAGCAAAGCAGCCAATCAACAAATGCTGCAGGCCTCGTCCTTACTGCCTCCAATCAGTGGGCGGCAGCGGAGGTTTGTTTTGGCGGGAGGGCGCGAGAGTCAAGAATGAACAATTTGGATTTCGTGGTTTCAACATTTTTTTTTCCGTTCTGACACATTTGGGTTAATCACCAACCAATTTCCCCCACTCGCCTTGACGTTTACGGACGCAACTTCGCACAGAAATTTCTGTTGTTCCCTGTCGAAATAAGGATTCTAAGTGGCGGGGGGTGTTCAATTGTTTTCAAGCCCAGAAGTAGGGTGGTAACTAGATCCAGTTTAATTAAACACCCATACCCGCTCAAGCCACCCGTGGGAGCTTAATGCCGGCGGAACCTGAATCCGGGAGAATACGGTACCTCTCGTCGTTAGTGCACTATAGTCCGCGCGCCTCGCACGACGCATTGGGACCACACTCTACAGACATAAGAGAAGGCTCTAAAAGCTCTCAGCTCTAAAATTATTACATTTAATGGTCGCCATGAGGCTAGAGTTTCGGAATCCTTGTGCTACGTTTCTCCTCGTCGTCGTCGTGGCCTGCCTTCTTCTGCTTCTACCGAACCGCGCCAACTCTCTCCCCCGCCACGGCGGCCGCCCAAACTTCAACGGTAGGCCGCTTCTCTCACACAGCCTCGTAAATGTGGCGGAAGTTCCGTGTGACTTTTGAGTCGACATGAATTCTGGGGTGCCTCTACTAGAGTAAAAGAAATGATTCGACCCTTCTCTCGTATGTCACAACACATTTTTTTTATTTCCACTCTGAGGCGCTGGCTTACGAAAGTGTAAGCGATTTGTCTAGCATTGCCCTCCCCCATAATCCTCTATGCCTGGCTTACCCTCTACTTCTTCCACCACATCCTCCCCCCCCCACCCCCCCCTCCCCCACCCCCCTCTCCCCCACCCCCCACTCCCCCCCCCCACCCCTCCCCGCCTGTCTTCCCCGTTCCGCCCCAGACTGGGTCAAGTCATACTGCCCAGACGCGGCAGCTTCTCCGCTCCTTCTCCCACCCCTCCTTGTCCCCCCTTCCCCCCTTCTGGGAGAAGCTGGGATTTGAACGGATTCCTTCCTCCAATCCCCCTTCCCCTCCTCCGTCAGTGATTCAGCTGCCAAGGAGAAGCTGGAGCTGCTGCTACAGCAGGTGCTAGACCCCAGCCCAGCATTTGCCGCACACGCACACGCACACGCATAGTCGTTCCATGCGTTACTCTTCCTTCCTTTCCCCTTTCTTTCCCCTCCGCCACCATCAGTGATTGAGCTCCAAAGGAGAAGCTGGAGCTGCTGCCACACAAGGTGCTAGACCCGACCCCAGCCCAGCATTCGTCGTCCGTCCGTCCCTCCTCCGTCCCCGTTGTGCTTGCAACCAGTGATGCTACTAGTGATTCCTCAGGAATATCCGCCTCTAGGAATGGCATTCCTAGAGGCAGCAGTGAAGCGTTGTCATTCCTGAAAGCAGCAGCAGAGGCGGTGGAGCTGCTTGGGTAGAAGCTGGAGCTGCTGCCTGCTGCTGCTACAGAAGGTGCTTGACCCCAGCCCAGCAGCATTTGTCGCCCGTCCGTCCCTCCTCCTCTCCCGTTTTGCTTGCTACCAGGGATGCTGTTGCAAAGGAGGCTCTGACATCCCTGAAAGCAGCAGCACAGGCGGTGGAGGTGTTTGGGGAGGAGAAGGCAGAGCTGCTGATCCGGAAGGTGTTCTAATCTGGCTTTGCACTTTTCTGTCTCTTTGCAACCAGGGATGCGGTAGCAAAGGAGGCTCTCACATCCCTGAAGGCGGCAGCAGAGGCGGTGGAAGTCTGTGGGGGAAAGGCAGAGCTGCTGGGGCTGGAGGAGCCACACTAGGTGTTGGACCTCAGCGCTTTTCCGCCCCTCCGCCTCTACCGTTCTTTTTTTGCAACCAGGGATGCGGTGGCAAAGGAGGCTCTCACATCCCTGAAAGCAGCAGCAGAGGCAGTGGAGGTGTTTCGGGAGAAGCTGGAGCTGCTGAAGCTGGACCTGGACGAACTCAGTGGGGGCAAGTTCGGAGGCGAGGTGAGTTGGCTAATAGCGGGGATGTTGGGTCTGCTTGTGACCGGAGGGTGTTTGGGGAGAAGCTGGAGCTGCTGAGGCTGGACCTGGACGAACTCATTGGGGGCAAGTTTGGCGGAGAGGTGAGTCCGCTTATAGCGGGGATGACCCTGCTTTTCAATGGTGGAGGCCTCTTGGGAAAATCTGGAGGTGCTAAGGCTGGAGCTGGATGAGTGCAGTGCAAATTTGGTGGCGAGACGAGTCTGCTTATAGCGGGGATCATAAGCCTGGTTGTCCTAGGAATGAGGATGGTGTATGACTAGCAGGTAAAGCTGGAGCTGGACTTGGACTGGTCTGGTCTGGTCTGGACGAGCATAGTGGGCTTTCACAGCTGTGTCTGATGATTGTGGGGGTTAGCGAGGGTGAGGTTGCTCATAGCGGGGATAAGTGAAGATGAGGCTATTTATCGCGAAGATTTGCTCTATTCAATGTACCTGGACGCCTTTACAGAGGGGGAGGGAGAAAGCTCAAGAAGCACCTTCGTTTCCGCCCTCCTCTCCCCCCTCCCCCCTCCCCCCTCTCCCCCTCTCCCCCTCCTCGAGATAAACCCCTTGTTCTTTCCGCTTCCCCCCCACGAGATGGTGCTCTCTAGTGTTCGAGATGCTGCTCTCTAGTGTTCGAGATGCTGCTCTCTAGTGGTCGAGATGCTGCTCTCTAGTGTTCGAGATGCTGCTCTCTAGTGTTCGAGATGCTGCTCTCTAGTGTTCGAGATGCTGCTCTCTAGTGTTCGAGATGCTGCTCTCTAGTGTTCGAGATGCTGCTCTCTAGTGTTCGAGATGCTGCTCTCTAGTGTTTGAGATGCAGGCTGTGGGTGAGATCCCGGAGGACATCAAGGTGGCTCTGACCGCTGCCGTGAAGCGCTATTCGGCGTACCTGGACGCTTTCAAAGAGGAGGGGGGGTGCGCTGATTACACCTTATGTTTTCCCCCCACCCCCCCCCTCCAACTCCCCCCTGCAGGCTGTGGGTAAGATCCCGGAGGACATCAAGGCGGCTCTGGCTTCTGCTCTGAAGCGCTCTTCAGGTACCTTGACTCTTTTAAAGAGGAGGAGGGGGGTCGTTGGAGATGCACCCCCTGTTCTTTCCGCTTCTCCCCCCATGCAATGCCGGCTGTGTGGGTAAGATCCCGGACGACACGAAGGCGGTTCTCGCCTCTGCTCTCAAGCGCTGTTTTAAAGAGGAGGAGGAGAAGGGATGGCTGCTGAATGCACCTTTCCTTCCCAACTCCCTTCCACTGCTCAATGCAGGCGGTGGGTAAGATCCCGGACGACATGAGGGCGGCTCTCTCCGCTGCTCTCAAGTGCTATACAGTATACCTGGACTCCCCGTTCCTCCTCTTCCCCCCCGGTCCTGTCCCCCTCTCCCAGTCGGTGGGTAAGATCCCGGACGACATGAAGGCGGCTCTCACCTCTGCCCTGAAGTGCTATTTGGCGTACCTGGACTAGTTCGCAGAGGAAGGGGGGCCTCTGAACACACCTTTTCTCCCCCTCCCCCCGCCTTTCCAACTCCCCCACGCAAGCTGTGGGTAAGATCCCGGAGGACATGAAGGCGGCCCTCTCCTCTGCTCTGAAGCGCTTTGGCGTACCTGGCACCGCTCAAAGAGGAGGAGAGGGTATGCTGATTACACATGTTCTTCCCCCCCCCCCCCCCTTCCCCCCACCCCCCCTCCCCCCCCTCTTGAATGCAGGCTATGGGTAAGATCCCGGAGAATATGAAGGCGGCCCTCACCTCTGCTCTGAAGCGCTATTCGGCGTATCTGGGGGCTTTCAAAGAGGAGGAGGGGTGGCTGCAGCGCAAGGTGAAGGAGGAGCTGGGCGGCGCACTGATCACTGTGAAGCAGCGGTGCGGACTTGAAGAGGAGTGGAACCAGGTGAGAGGATTAGCCTAGGGGGTGCTTGTGAGTCCGTTGTAGTAGTAGTAGGGGTAAAAGTCACGGGGAAGGAGGAGCTGAGAGGCGTGCTGGTCATAGTGAAGCAGCGGTGTAGCGCACTTGAAGAGGAGTGGAATAAGGCGAGATGAGCCCAACCAGGTTAGCTGTGAGTTCCAGGGTGGGGATAGGGCGGAGGAGGGGTGGCTGCAGCGCAAGGCGAAGGAGGAGCTGGGCGGCGCACGGATCACCGTGAAGCAGCGCGGTGCAGCGGACTGGAGGAGGAGTGGAACCAGGTGGGAGAAAAGGGGAGAGGCATCCAAGGATGATAGCCCAAGGGTACAAGGCAAGGGGAAGAAGGAGCTGGGCGGGGTGCTGATCATCGTGAAGCAGCAATGCAGCGGGCAGCAATGCAATGCGGGCAGCAGTGCAATGCGGGTTTGAAGAGGAGTGGAATTAATTAGGTGAGATGAGCCCACCATGTTTCGAGGCGCCTCAAAGCAGCGTGCAATGCGGGCTTGAAGAGGAGTGGAATTAATTAGGTGAGATGAGCCCACCATGTTTCGAGGCGCCTCAAAGCAGCAGTGCAATGGGGGCTTGAAGAGGAGTGGAATTCATTAGGTGAGATGAGCCCACCATGTTTTGAGGCGCCTCAAAGGAGCAGTGCAATGCGGGCTTGAAGAGGAGTGGAATCTGGTGAGATGAGGCCAACCATGGGAGATGATGGCCCTAGGGTGGGGAGAGAGGAGGGTAGTTTTGAGGCGCCTCAAAACTAAAATCAACCATGGGAGATGATGGCCCTAGGGTGGGGAGAGAGGAGGGGGGAAGGGGGGGTGAGAAGATGGGCGGCGTGCTTATCACCGTGTAGCAGGCTGGAGGAAATTTGGAGTAAGGTGAGACGGATGGAACAAGGAGAGGGTGGGGATAAGGGCCGGGCAGGCGTGAGTGCTACACTTGCGCAATTGAGCGGAGGATAAGGTGGAATAAGATCAGGTGTATTTTGAGTCGACTCAAAATACACCTGCAATTGATTTTTGAGTCGACTCAAAATACACCTGCATTTGTTTTTTGAGTCGACTCAAAATACACCTGCAATTGATTTTTGAGTCAACTAAAAAATCACCGATTCAAAATACACCTGCAATTGAGCGGAGGATAAGGTGGAATAAGATCATATCCTCCAGGAAACGTAGCACAAGGATTCCGAAACTCTAGCCTCATGGCGACCATTAAATATGAGAATTTTTTTGTAGTAAAAAAAATTTACAGATTGTGATTCGATTAGAAGAGGAGTTTGCTGTAAAGGAGACAAACTCCTTCATCTATCGGCAGGTCTTTCAGACCTGCCACCTAGTCTCATTTGCATTTTTTCTGTTCCAACTTGTATACCACCAGCACACTCTAAACCTCTATGCCCAGATCTGGGCATAGAAGTCTCTTGCTGCAAGACGTTATTTCTGTTAGATACTCTACAATGGTTAGCGGACTCATTTCCGCTGCAAGTGGTAGTCCTCCTGCTCCTCGTGTGAATACTAGGAGTGGTGGAAGGCGTGGGTCCCCTGTACGTGAGGGGGACCGAAACTCTTCATCTCAGCATAGAGAACGATCTCGTTCTCCTCGTCCTGGCGGAGGTAACGGCGCAGTTACCGCTTTGGATTTGCTGAGTGGCGCGCGTCAAGACCCTGTTCAGCACGTCGAAAACGCGGCAGGGGACGCGGATCGTAACACGTCACGCAATCGCGATTTCCCCCCCGGATTTCAAGGCGAGCGGCGTAACGAGCAGAACCGCGTCGACACGAACCCGACTGCCGAAAATGCCCCCTCCCGGCCCCCACCTACCGAACGCAATCATGACGGTCCTGCGCGCGAGGACCACAATCATGATCGTGATACTGCGCGCGCAGGGCGACATCATGAGCGCGATCTCAACGCCCCAGCGCCCCAGATTCGCCAGGATCGCCAGGATCGGGACCGGGATCGCGCAGATCGCTTCACAGATTTTGCTCCTGCCGCAGTGAATCCGCGCGGGATTCCGCAGATCTCGACCCCTGGAGCAGCAGAAATCGCCGAAATGATTGCGCGCCTGGATCCTGCAGCCCAGCGCAATCTCCAGCGAATCTTCACAGGAGCTGCTGGCGAACGCGTTACAGCACGCTCCACTGCATCTACAGCGCCTCATTCTGCAGAACATAATTCTGCTCGCTACACCGACAACAATGTTAACGCCGGCACCAACAACGAGGCCATTCACCACGTTCTTGGTCTTCTCGCGGCGCTCCAGCGTGGCAATGGCGCCGATCCCGCACCGCCACCGGAACCAGCACGCGTCGCAGCGACGGTGGCCCCACGCTCTCGCCTCCCGGCGCCCGCCCCCGAGCCCGTTGACGACGAAATGGACGAGGAAGCACCCCATGCCACGCTCGACGAAGGTAATGCCGCCCGCCCGAAATCCGCTTCTGCATCGCTCACCCTCGCTCCTATTCCACCTGCACGTCCTCAGTTGCGCTCTTCCTTAGTTAAAAGCGATGGAATTCGTACGCAACTTTTTAGTTTTGAGCGCATTCAAGCTATTGCACGTCATGCTATCTCGGTTTTACCACTTGACGGTGGAGAACAAGCCGCCGACTATCTCCAGCAGATAGTAGAGGAGGCGGAAGAGAAGATTCATTTTTTGTTTACCGCCGATCAACGCGGTTTCGAAGTGGCCAATATGGCCCTTAAGATTAAGTATGGGGAAGTGGTAGAGGATAAGAATGTGAAGGCCGCTTCTCAGATTGTAGCGGCCAGCAAGAAGAGGCCCACTCGGCCCACCCATCCCACCTCCCGTCCTGAACTCCCTCTTCGCCCTCGCGGCCAAGGGGAGCGCCTTTGGAACACATGGCGTAGGGACGGCGACGGCCGTTGTTTCTATTGCCGTGAACCCGGGCATGGGATGACTAATTGCCCCCAAAGGGGCCAAGGGGCCAATCGGCCAGCTAAGATTGTGTAAAGTTTGCTTAACCTCTCCGATGTTGTAGCGTTCTTAATTAAAAAAAAAAAAAAAAAAAAAAAAAAAAAAAACACACACACACACACGCACATTTGTGCATTCAAGCAAGATTAATACGCGCGTCATACGGCCACATGGTCTTGCACGTTGGGCCCGTGCAAGAAGACGTGAGCGTGCCCACAAGACGCATACACAATATGTGTGCGTCCTTTAAAGACTGACGTTGATAAGATTCATCACAAGATTTCTATGTCCATCGCAAAAAAAAAAAAAAAAAAAAAAACCGTATGCTCGCAAAACGATTGCGTAGCATTTGCGCAAATGCTTTGCAAACGTTTTGCGAAGATGTGGGTGAACACTCCTGGCGGACTAAGATTAGAACACTTGGCGAATGCTTTGGCAACATTTCCCGAAACACTTTTTGGTTCACGACAAGGAATATATGACGACCAACTACAGCCCAAAATGCCAAGTTCACATTCCCAACCCATAGTTTATCACTTAAGGGATGACGTGGTCGAATAATAGCGAGCAAGCGGGCACCTATATTTAGCGTTTGCCTTCCTTCCAAAAAAAAAAAAAAAAAAAAAAAAAAATCGTTGCGTTCGGAACTATTTGAGGTACCTTCCTGATTCTCTACCGTCCCTATTTGTGTTCCCTCTCCTACCAGAGCTCGGAACCATTTCGGCCTATGCCGATGACGCAACCAAGATTACCCGCATGCAAGGCCGCCTCCGTGACCGCGCTGCATGGTGGTCCGCCTGGTGCGACAGCCGCTTGATTCTATCGGTGATTACATCTGGATATCGCCTACCATGGGTTGCCTCTGAGCCCCCTCCGTCTCGTACTAAGAACCATGCCGGTGCTTTGCAATTCACCTCTTTCGCCGTAGGCGCAGTGGCTGAGCTTCTCGCCACCGGCGCAGCTCGGGTCGTTCCTCCTTCCACAACCCTCACATGCGTTAGCCCCTTAAACGTGATTGTCCAACCCTCAAAAAAGAGACTGATATTGGATTTGCGGCATGTCAACTCATTCCTCTCAGTACCTCGTTTTCGATACGAAGGACTTACTCGCGTTCCTGATTTGGTGCAAGAAGGCGATTGGCTATTCACGATCGATCTCAAATCTGGATACCACCACGTCGACATTCACCCCGCTTTCTGGCAGTTTCTCGGATTCTCCTTGCAAGGGCAGGACTACCAATTCCTCTCTTTGCCTTTCGGGCTGGCTACAGCGCCGTTTGTGTTTACCCAGTTAATTAAGCAACTCGGCAAACGCTGGCGTAGCCGTGGCATCCGCCTTATTCCATACGTCGATGATATCCTATTCATCAGTGCCACTCGAGCGGAGGCTCTTCACAACCGCTCCATAATCATTGCCGACCTCGCAGCCGCGGGCTTTGTTGTGAATTTCAAAAAATCACAACTCGCACCGCCACAATCTTTGAAGTTCTTGGGCCTCTTGCTGGACACGCGCACCACCACTTTCTCGGTCGATGCGGATCGGCGCAACCGGCTTTTTGCCGAGCTGGATGAATTAGGCACACTCGGCACTAACGGGCGTCGCATCCCTGTTCGCCGCGCTGCCCGCATCACCGGCATGTTGGCCTCCATGTCCTTGGCGCTTGGCACTGTCGCGCGCGCTTTCTCCCACCACCTTCTTACGCAGATCGCCGAATGCCACTCATGGGGGGCGGCCATTCTCCTCACCCCTGAGTCTGTTGAAGAACTGCGATTTTGGCTTACACAGTTCGACGTTTTCAACGGCGCCCGCTTCCACAACCCGCATTTGTACGACGTGGTCATGTACGTGGATGCTAGCGACCATGCTTGGGGGGCTTGTTATTCCGCGCCGGATGGTCGTGTCGGCTCGCTCTCCTCCCCGCTGCCTCTAGCCCTCTTGGGCTCGTCCAGTACCCTTCGCGAGCTGGCCGGAATCTTTTGGTCCCTTTCGGCCTTTTCTGTCGAAATCCGACGTTCGCACATCTTGCTCCGCAGCGACAGTCAGGCGGCCTACTACATCCTCCAGAAGGGAGGCTCTCGCCGTCCCGAGCTTACCTTCGTATGCCGCGCGATTATTCAATTGTGCGTGCGCCATATGATCCGTCTTACGGTCCAATGGATTCCCCGTGCGCTGAATACCGAGGCTGACGCTCTGTCCAAGATTGAGCTCCACGACGACTACTCCTTGACACGACCTTGGTTCCGGCTGCTTGAGAGGCATTGGGGGCCTCATACTATCGACTTGTTCGCATCCCCTGCCAATGCGCAGCTCGCTCGTTTCTGCTCCCTCGAGTTCTCACACTCTGCGGTTGCGCAAGACGCTTTTTCTATCCATTGGGGCCACGAGAATTGCTTCGCCTTTCCTCCACCCACCCTCATCCCGGCTGTCCTAGCTCATGACCGTCGCTCGCGCACTTCTCTCACTCTCGTGATCCCATATTGGCCCAGTGCCTTTTGGTGGCCTTTGCTAAGCTTGGACGGCTCCACTTGGGGCCCGGAGGTCGTTATGGCCCTTCGCCTTACCCTTGGTGCTAGTTGTTTACGCGTTGGCAGTGACCATCATGCCTTTAGCGGTGCTGGTCTTCCGAACTCTCCGATGTATGCGCTTCGTTTTGCATTCAACTAATGTATCAATTTATTTCACTGCGCAGGCTCATATATTGGTCGATTATTGTCGGACCTTCTCACACTCACCATTGATCTTCGGGCGAAGTCTACCCTTCGCACTTACGAACCCTACTGGCGACAGTTTCGAGCCTTCTGTTTGGCGCACTCACTTCCCTTCCTTCCCGCCACCGACCTGACAGCGTCCCTCTTTCTGCTGCACTCGGTCCGTCGCGGCGCTACTGTCTCAGCTGTGCGCACTGCGTGTTCCGCCATATCCTGGGCCTTTGGCTGGTTGGCCACCCCTCCCCGATTCGCGGCCCCTTTTCTTCGCAAGTCAAGGATTATGCCATGCGTCATTGTGGCAAGCCATCTCAAGCTAAGGAGCCCATTCCTCCAACCAAGATTTACGATATCTGTGACATCTACTTCTCATCGCATGATCCGGCCACATTCCAGCGGGGCCTTATTCCCCTCCTCATGTTCGCAGCCTTCCTTCTTTTCTCTGATCTCGTCTCCCTCCAGTGGCACCAGATCGAGTTCGATCGGGACTGCATGTGGTTGTTCATCCCTCGTTCGAAGACCGACCAAGCTGGCACCGGTGTTTGGGTCCCAGTGGCTGCTTCTTCTGCCCGCCACTGTCCGGTGTCGCGTGTCCAACAATTCCTCTTCCTGGCTGGCTATTCTCCGCGGACCCTTGGCCCCCTTATTCGTATATTTCAGCCGGGTGCCCGAGCTTCCCCCTCAGATCGCTCTCCCTCGTACGCCGCCATTCGGGGTTGGTGTCGAGATGCTTTCTCCCGTGTAGGCCTTAACCCGGCCCTCCTGGGCACCCATTCTTTCCGCAAGGCGGCTGCGACGGTCGCCGTTGATATTGGAGTCCCCGACCGGCTTTTCAAGGCCCTAGGTCGCTGGCGAAGTGATACAGCCAAGGAGCTTTACATTACTCAGCTTGACCGCGAGCTAGTGGCTGCTTCTCGCGCGCTACAAGATCCTACTCGCTCGAGCGCGACCGATCAATACCAGGCCACCCTCGAGCGCCACCGCCGACGACCTACCACTTGATGTCTCGTTTGACCTATGACGACTGCACTGCACACTCCTCTGAGGTCGTGTCACAATATGAGACATTTTTTGTAGTAAAAAATTTACAGATTGTGATTCGACTAGAAGAGGAGTTTGCTGTAAAGGAGACAAACTCCTTCATCTATCGGCAGGTCTTTCAGACCTGCCACCTAGTCTCATTTGCATTTTTTCTGTTCCAACTTGTCCCGCTCCTTCTCCCACCCCTCCTTGTCCCCCCTTCCCCCCTTCTGGGAGAAGCTGGGATTTGAACGGATTCCTTCCTCCAATCCCCCTTCCCCTCCTCCGTCAGTGATTCAGCTGCCAAGGAGAAGCTGGAGCTGCTGCTACAGCAGGTGCTAGACCCCAGCCCAGCATTTGCCGCACACGCACACGCACACGCATAGTCGTTCCATGCGTTACTCTTCCTTCCTTTCCCCTTTCTTTCCCCTCCGCCACCATCAGTGATTGAGCTCCAAAGGAGAAGCTGGAGCTGCTGCCACACAAGGTGCTAGACCCGACCCCAGCCCAGCATTCGTCGTCCGTCCGTCCCTCCTCCGTCCCCGTTGTGCTTGCAACCAGTGATGCTACTAGTGATTCCTCAGGAATATCCGCCTCTAGGAATGGCATTCCTAGAGGCAGCAGTGAAGCGTTGTCATTCCTGAAAGCAGCAGCAGAGGCGGTGGAGGTGCTTGGGTAGAAGCTGGAGCTGCTGCCTGCTGCTGCTACAGAAGGTGCTTGACCCCAGCCCAGCAGCATTTGTCGCCCGTCCGTCCCTCCTCCTCTCCCGTTTTGCTTGCTACCAGGGATGCTGTTGCAAAGGAGGCTCTGACATCCCTGAAAGCAGCAGCACAGGCGGTGGAGGTGTTTGGGGAGGAGAAGGCAGAGCTGCTGATCCGGAAGGTGTTCTAATCTGGCTTTGCACTTTTCTGTCTCTTTGCAACCAGGGATGCGGTAGCAAAGGAGGCTCTCACATCCCTGAAGGCGGCAGCAGAGGCGGTGGAAGTCTGTGGGGGAAAGGCAGAGCTGCTGGGGCTGGAGGAGCCACACTAGGTGTTGGACCTCAGCGCTTTTCCGCCCCTCCGCCTCTACCGTTCTTTTTTTGCAACCAGGGATGCGGTGGCAAAGGAGGCTCTCACATCCCTGAAAGCAGCAGCAGAGGCAGTGGAGGTGTTTCGGGAGAAGCTGGAGCTGCTGAAGCTGGACCTGGACGAACTCAGTGGGGGCAAGTTCGGAGGCGAGGTGAGTTGGCTAATAGCGGGGATATTGGGTCTGCTTGTGACCGGAGGGTGTTTGGGGAGAAGCTGGAGCTGCTGAGGCTGGACCTGGACGAACTCATTGGGGGCAAGTTTGGCGGAGAGGTGAGTCCGCTTATAGCGGGGATGACCCTGCTTTTCAATGGTGGAGGCCTCTTGGGAAAATCTGGAGGTGCTAAGGCTGGAGCTGGATGAGTGCAGTGCAAATTTGGTGGCGAGACGAGTCTGCTTATAGCGGGGATCATAAGCCTGGTTGTCCTAGGAATGAGGATGGTGTATGACTAGCAGGTAAAGCTGGAGCTGGACTTGGACTGGTCTGGTCTGGTCTGGACGAGCATAGTGGGCTTTCACAGCTGTGTCTGATGATTGTGGGGGTTAGCGAGGGTGAGGTTGCTCATAGCGGGGATAAGTGAAGATGAGGCTATTTATCGCGAAGATTTGCTCTATTCAATGTACCTGGACGCCTTTACAGAGGGGGAGGGAGAAAGCTCAAGAAGCACCTTCGTTTCCGCCCTCCTCTCCCCCCTCCCCCCTCCCCCCTCTCCCCCTCTCCCCCTCCTCGAGATAAACCCCTTGTTCTTTCCGCTTCCCCCCCACGAGATGGTGCTCTCTAGTGTTCGAGATGCTGCTCTCTAGTGTTCGAGATGCTGCTCTCTAGTGGTCGAGATGCTGCTCTCTAGTGTTCGAGATGCTGCTCTCTAGTGTTCGAGATGCTGCTCTCTAGTGTTCGAGATGCTGCTCTCTAGTGTTCGAGATGCTGCTCTCTAGTGTTCGAGATGCTGCTCTCTAGTGTTCGAGATGCTGCTCTCTAGTGTTTGAGATGCAGGCTGTGGGTGAGATCCCGGAGGACATCAAGGTGGCTCTGACCGCTGCCGTGAAGCGCTATTCGGCGTACCTGGACGCTTTCAAAGAGGAGGGGGGGTGCGCTGATTACACCTTTTGTTTTCCCCCCACCCCCCCCCTCCAACTCCCCCCTGCAGGCTGTGGGTAAGATCCCGGAGGACATCAAGGCGGCTCTGGCTTCTGCTCTGAAGCGCTCTTCAGGTACCTTGACTCTTTTAAAGAGGAGGAGGGGGGTCGTTGGAGATGCACCCCCTGTTCTTTCCGCTTCTCCCCCCATGCAATGCCGGCTGTGTGGGTAAGATCCCGGACGACACGAAGGCGGTTCTCGCCTCTGCTCTCAAGCGCTGTTTTAAAGAGGAGGAGGAGAAGGGATGGCTGCTGAATGCACCTTTCCTTCCCAACTCCCTTCCACTGCTCAATGCAGGCGGTGGGTAAGATCCCGGACGACATGAGGGCGGCTCTCTCCGCTGCTCTCAAGTGCTATACAGTATACCTGGACTCCCCGTTCCTCCTCTTCCCCCCCGGTCCTGTCCCCCTCTCCCAGTCGGTGGGTAAGATCCCGGACGACATGAAGGCGGCTCTCACCTCTGCCCTGAAGTGCTATTTGGCGTACCTGGACTAGTTCGCAGAGGAAGGGGGGCCTCTGAACACACCTTTTCTCCCCCTCCCCCCGCCTTTCCAACTCCCCCACGCAAGCTGTGGGTAAGATCCCGGAGGACATGAAGGCGGCCCTCTCCTCTGCTCTGAAGCGCTTTGGCGTACCTGGCACCGCTCAAAGAGGAGGAGAGGGTATGCTGATTACACATGTTCTTCCCCCCCCCCCCCCCCTTCCCCCCACCCCCCCTCCCCCCCCTCTTGAATGCAGGCTATGGGTAAGATCCCGGAGAATATGAAGGCGGCCCTCACCTCTGCTCTGAAGCGCTATTCGGCGTATCTGGGGGCTTTCAAAGAGGAGGAGGGGTGGCTGCAGCGCAAGGTGAAGGAGGAGCTGGGCGGCGCACTGATCACTGTGAAGCAGCGGTGCGGACTTGAAGAGGAGTGGAACCAGGTGAGAGGATTAGCCTAGGGGGTGCTTGTGAGTCCGTTGTAGTAGTAGTAGGGGTAAAAGTCACGGGGAAGGAGGAGCTGAGAGGCGTGCTGGTCATAGTGAAGCAGCGGTGTAGCGCACTTGAAGAGGAGTGGAATAAGGCGAGATGAGCCCAACCAGGTTAGCTGTGAGTTCCAGGGTGGGGATAGGGCGGAGGAGGGGTGGCTGCAGCGCAAGGCGAAGGAGGAGCTGGGCGGCGCACGGATCACCGTGAAGCAGCGCGGTGCAGCGGACTGGAGGAGGAGTGGAACCAGGTGGGAGAAAAGGGGAGAGGCATCCAAGGATGATAGCCCAAGGGTACAAGGCAAGGGGAAGAAGGAGCTGGGCGGGGTGCTGATCATCGTGAAGCAGCAATGCAGCGGGCAGCAATGCAATGCGGGCAGCAGTGCAATGCGGGTTTGAAGAGGAGTGGAATTAATTAGGTGAGATGAGCCCACCATGTTTCGAGGCGCCTCAAAGCAGCGTGCAATGCGGGCTTGAAGAGGAGTGGAATTAATTAGGTGAGATGAGCCCACCATGTTTCGAGGCGCCTCAAAGCAGCAGTGCAATGGGGGCTTGAAGAGGAGTGGAATTCATTAGGTGAGATGAGCCCACCATGTTTTGAGGCGCCTCAAAGGAGCAGTGCAATGCGGGCTTGAAGAGGAGTGGAATCTGGTGAGATGAGGCCAACCATGGGAGATGATGGCCCTAGGGTGGGGAGAGAGGAGGGTAGTTTTGAGGCGCCTCAAAACTAAAATCAACCATGGGAGATGATGGCCCTAGGGTGGGGAGAGAGGAGGGGGGAAGGGGGGGTGAGAAGATGGGCGGCGTGCTTATCACCGTGTAGCAGGCTGGAGGAAATTTGGAGTAAGGTGAGACGGATGGAACAAGGAGAGGGTGGGGATAAGGGCCGGGCAGGCGTGAGTGCTACACTTGCGCAATTGAGCGGAGGATAAGGTGGAATAAGATCAGGTGTATTTTGAGTCGACTCAAAATACACCTGCAATTGATTTTTGAGTCGACTCAAAATACACCTGCATTTGTTTTTTGAGTCGACTCAAAATACACCTGCAATTGATTTTTGAGTCAACTAAAAAATCACCGATTCAAAATACACCTGCAATTGAGCGGAGGATAAGGTGGAATAAGATCATATCCTCCAGGAAACGTAGCACAAGGATTCCGAAACTCTAGCCTCATGGCGACCATTAAATATGAGAATTTTTTTGTAGTAAAAAAAATTTACAGATTGTGATTCGATTAGAAGAGGAGTTTGCTGTAAAGGAGACAAACTCCTTCATCTATCGGCAGGTCTTTCAGACCTGCCACCTAGTCTCATTTGCATTTTTTCTGTTCCAACTTGTATACCACCAGCACACTCTAAACCTCTATGCCCAGATCTGGGCATAGAAGTCTCTTGCTGCAAGACGTTATTTCTGTTAGATACTCTACAATGGTTAGCGGACTCATTTCCGCTGCAAGTGGTAGTCCTCCTGCTCCTCGTGTGAATACTAGGAGTGGTGGAAGGCGTGGGTCCCCTGTACGTGAGGGGGACCGAAACTCTTCATCTCAGCATAGAGAACGATCTCGTTCTCCTCGTCCTGGCGGAGGTAACGGCGCAGTTACCGCTTTGGATTTGCTGAGTGGCGCGCGTCAAGACCCTGTTCAGCACGTCGAAAACGCGGCAGGGGACGCGGATCGTAACACGTCACGCAATCGCGATTTCCCCCCCGGATTTCAAGGCGAGCGGCGTAACGAGCAGAACCGCGTCGACACGAACCCGACTGCCGAAAATGCCCCCTCCCGGCCCCCACCTACCGAACGCAATCATGACGGTCCTGCGCGCGAGGACCACAATCATGATCGTGATACTGCGCGCGCAGGGCGACATCATGAGCGCGATCTCAACGCCCCAGCGCCCCAGATTCGCCAGGATCGCCAGGATCGGGACCGGGATCGCGCAGATCGCTTCACAGATTTTGCTCCTGCCGCAGTGAATCCGCGCGGGATTCCGCAGATCTCGACCCCTGGAGCAGCAGAAATCGCCGAAATGATTGCGCGCCTGGATCCTGCAGCCCAGCGCAATCTCCAGCGAATCTTCACAGGAGCTGCTGGCGAACGCGTTACAGCACGCTCCACTGCATCTACAGCGCCTCATTCTGCAGAACATAATTCTGCTCGCTACACCGACAACAATGTTAACGCCGGCACCAACAACGAGGCCATTCACCACGTTCTTGGTCTTCTCGCGGCGCTCCAGCGTGGCAATGGCGCCGATCCCGCACCGCCACCGGAACCAGCACGCGTCGCAGCGACGGTGGCCCCACGCTCTCGCCTCCCGGCGCCCGCCCCCGAGCCCGTTGACGACGAAATGGACGAGGAAGCACCCCATGCCACGCTCGACGAAGGTAATGCCGCCCGCCCGAAATCCGCTTCTGCATCGCTCACCCTCGCTCCTATTCCACCTGCACGTCCTCAGTTGCGCTCTTCCTTAGTTAAAAGCGATGGAATTCGTACGCAACTTTTTAGTTTTGAGCGCATTCAAGCTATTGCACGTCATGCTATCTCGGTTTTACCACTTGACGGTGGAGAACAAGCCGCCGACTATCTCCAGCAGATAGTAGAGGAGGCGGAAGAGAAGATTCATTTTTTGTTTACCGCCGATCAACGCGGTTTCGAAGTGGCCAATATGGCCCTTAAGATTAAGTATGGGGAAGTGGTAGAGGATAAGAATGTGAAGGCCGCTTCTCAGATTGTAGCGGCCAGCAAGAAGAGGCCCACTCGGCCCACCCATCCCACCTCCCGTCCTGAACCCCCTCTTCGCCCTCGCGGCCAAGGGGAGCGCCTTTGGAACACATGGCGTAGGGACGGCGACGGCCGTTGTTTCTATTGCCGTGAACCCGGGCATGGGATGACTAATTGCCCCCAAAGGGGCCAAGGGGCCAATCGGCCAGCTAAGATTGTGTAAAGTTTGCTTAACCTCTCCGATGTTGTAGCGTTCTTAATTAAAAAAAAAAAAAAAAAAAAAAAAAAAAAAAAACACACACACACACACGCACATTTGTGCATTCAAGCAAGATTAATACGCGCGTCATACGGCCACATGGTCTTGCACGTTGGGCCCGTGCAAGAAGACGTGAGCGTGCCCACAAGACGCATACACAATATGTGTGCGTCCTTTAAAGACTGACGTTGATAAGATTCATCACAAGATTTCTATGTCCATCGCAAAAAAAAAAAAAAAAAAAAAAACCGTATGCTCGCAAAACGATTGCGTAGCATTTGCGCAAATGCTTTGCAAACGTTTTGCGAAGATGTGGGTGAACACTCCTGGCGGACTAAGATTAGAACACTTGGCGAATGCTTTGGCAACATTTCCCGAAACACTTTTTGGTTCACGACAAGGAATATATGACGACCAACTACAGCCCAAAATGCCAAGTTCACATTCCCAACCCATAGTTTATCACTTAAGGGATGACGTGGTCGAATAATAGCGAGCAAGCGGGCACCTATATTTAGCGTTTGCCTTCCTTCCAAAAAAAAAAAAAAAAAAAAAAAAAAAATCGTTGCGTTCGGAACTATTTGAGGTACCTTCCTGATTCTCTACCGTCCCTATTTGTGTTCCCTCTCCTACCAGAGCTCGGAACCATTTCGGCCTATGCCGATGACGCAACCAAGATTACCCGCATGCAAGGCCGCCTCCGTGACCGCGCTGCATGGTGGTCCGCCTGGTGCGACAGCCGCTTGATTCTATCGGTGATTACATATGGATATCGCCTACCATGGGTTGCCTCTGAGCCCCCTCCGTCTCGTACTAAGAACCATGCCGGTGCTTTGCAATTCACCTCTTTCGCCGTAGGCGCAGTGGCCGAGCTTCTCGCCACCGGCGCAGCTCGGGTCGTTCCTCCTTCCACAACCCTCACATGCGTTAGCCCCTTAAACGTGATTGTCCAACCCTCAAAAAAGAGACTGATATTGGATTTGCGGCATGTCAACTCATTCCTCTCAGTACCTCGTTTTCGATACGAAGGACTTACTCGCGTTCCTGATTTGGTGCAAGAAGGCGATTGGCTATTCACGATCGATCTCAAATCTGGATACCACCACGTCGACATTCACCCCGCTTTCTGGCAGTTTCTCGGATTCTCCTTGCAAGGGCAGGACTACCAATTCCTCTCTTTGCCTTTCGGGCTGGCTACAGCGCCGTTTGTGTTTACCCAGTTAATTAAGCAACTCGGCAAACGCTGGCGTAGCCGTGGCATCCGCCTTATTCCATACGTCGATGATATCCTATTCATCAGTGCCACTCGAGCGGAGGCTCTTCACAACCGCTCCATAATCATTGCCGACCTCGCAGCCGCGGGCTTTGTTGTGAATTTCAAAAAATCACAACTCGCACCGCCACAATCTTTGAAGTTCTTGGGCCTCTTGCTGGACACGCGCACCACCACTTTCTCGGTCGATGCGGATCGGCGCAACCGGCTTTTTGCCGAGCTGGATGAATTAGGCACACTCGGCACTAACGGGCGTCGCATCCCTGTTCGCCGCGCTGCCCGCATCACCGGCATGTTGGCCTCCATGTCCTTGGCGCTTGGCACTGTCGCGCGCGCTTTCTCCCACCACCTTCTTACGCAGATCGCCGAATGCCACTCATGGGGGGCGGCCATTCTCCTCACCCCTGAGTCTGTTGAAGAACTGCGATTTTGGCTTACACAGTTCGACGTTTTCAACGGCGCCCGCTTCCACAACCCGCATTTGTACGACGTGGTCATGTACGTGGATGCTAGCGACCATGCTTGGGGGGCTTGTTATTCCGCGCCGGATGGTCGTGTCGGCTCGCTCTCCTCCCCGCTGCCTCTAGCCCTCTTGGGCTCGTCCAGTACCCTTCGCGAGCTGGCCGGAATCTTTTGGTCCCTTTCGGCCTTTTCTGTCGAAATCCGACGTTCGCACATCTTGCTCCGCAGCGACAGTCAGGCGGCCTACTACATCCTCCAGAAGGGAGGCTCTCGCCGTCCCGAGCTTACCTTCGTATGCCGCGCGATTATTCAATTGTGCGTGCGCCATATGATCCGTCTTACGGTCCAATGGATTCCCCGTGCGCTGAATACCGAGGCTGACGCTCTGTCCAAGATTGAGCTCCACGACGACTACTCCTTGACACGACCTTGGTTCCGGCTGCTTGAGAGGCATTGGGGGCCTCATACTATCGACTTGTTCGCATCCCCTGCCAATGCGCAGCTCGCTCGTTTCTGCTCCCTCGAGTTCTCACACTCTGCGGTTGCGCAAGACGCTTTTTCTATCCATTGGGGCCACGAGAATTGCTTCGCCTTTCCTCCACCCACCCTCATCCCGGCTGTCCTAGCTCATGACCGTCGCTCGCGCACTTCTCTCACTCTCGTGATCCCATATTGGCCCAGTGCCTTTTGGTGGCCTTTGCTAAGCTTGGACGGCTCCACTTGGGGCCCGGAGGTCGTTATGGCCCTTCGCCTTACCCTTGGTGCTAGTTGTTTACGCGTTGGCAGTGACCATCATGCCTTTAGCGGTGCTGGTCTTCCGAACTCTCCGATGTATGCGCTTCGTTTTGCATTCAACTAATGTATCAATTTATTTCACTGCGCAGGCTCATATATTGGTCGATTATTGTCGGACCTTCTCACACTCACCATTGATCTTCGGGCGAAGTCTACCCTTCGCACTTACGAACCCTACTGGCGACAGTTTCGAGCCTTCTGTTTGGCGCACTCACTTCCCTTCCTTCCCGCCACCGACCTGACAGCGTCCCTCTTTCTGCTGCACTCGGTCCGTCGCGGCGCTACTGTCTCAGCTGTGCGCACTGCGTGTTCCGCCATATCCTGGGCCTTTGGCTGGTTGGCCACCCCTCCCCGATTCGCGGCCCCTTTTCTTCGCAAGTCAAGGATTATGCCATGCGTCATTGTGGCAAGCCATCTCAAGCTAAGGAGCCCATTCCTCCAACCAAGATTTACGATATCTGTGACATCTACTTCTCATCGCATGATCCGGCCACATTCCAGCGGGGCCTTATTCCCCTCCTCATGTTCGCAGCCTTCCTTCTTTTCTCTGATCTCGTCTCCCTCCAGTGGCACCAGATCGAGTTCGATCGGGACTGCATGTGGTTGTTCATCCCTCGTTCGAAGACCGACCAAGCTGGCACCGGTGTTTGGGTCCCAGTGGCTGCTTCTTCTGCCCGCCACTGTCCGGTGTCGCGTGTCCAACAATTCCTCTTCCTGGCTGGCTATTCTCCGCGGACCCTTGGCCCCCTTATTCGTATATTTCAGCCGGGTGCCCGAGCTTCCCCCTCAGATCGCTCTCCCTCGTACGCCGCCATTCGGGGTTGGTGTCGAGATGCTTTCTCCCGTGTAGGCCTTAACCCGGCCCTCCTGGGCACCCATTCTTTCCGCAAGGCGGCTGCGACGGTCGCCGTTGATATTGGAGTCCCCGACCGGCTTTTCAAGGCCCTAGGTCGCTGGCGAAGTGATACAGCCAAGGAGCTTTACATTACTCAGCTTGACCGCGAGCTAGTGGCTGCTTCTCGCGCGCTACAAGATCCTACTCGCTCGAGCGCGACCGATCAATACCAGGCCACCCTCGAGCGCCACCGCCGACGACCTACCACTTGATGTCTCGTTTGACCTATGACGACTGCACTGCACACTCCTCTGAGGTCGTGTCACAATATGAGACATTTTTTGTAGTAAAAAATTTACAGATTGTGATTCGACTAGAAGAGGAGTTTGCTGTAAAGGAGACAAACTCCTTCATCTATCGGCAGGTCTTTCAGACCTGCCACCTAGTCTCATTTGCATTTTTTCTGTTCCAACTTGTCCCGCTCCTTCTCCCACCCCTCCTTGTCCCCCCTTCCCCCCTTCTGGGAGAAGCTGGGATTTGAACGGATTCCTTCCTCCAATCCCCCTTCCCCTCCTCCGTCAGTGATTCAGCTGCCAAGGAGAAGCTGGAGCTGCTGCTACAGCAGGTGCTAGACCCCAGCCCAGCATTTGCCGCACACGCACACGCACACGCATAGTCGTTCCATGCGTTACTCTTCCTTCCTTTCCCCTTTCTTTCCCCTCCGCCACCATCAGTGATTGAGCTCCAAAGGAGAAGCTGGAGCTGCTGCCACACAAGGTGCTAGACCCGACCCCAGCCCAGCATTCGTCGTCCGTCCGTCCCTCCTCCGTCCCCGTTGTGCTTGCAACCAGTGATGCTACTAGTGATTCCTCAGGAATATCCGCCTCTAAGAATGGCATTCCTAGAGGCAGCAGTGAAGCGTTGTCATTCCTGAAAGCAGCAGCAGAGGCGGTGGAGGTGCTTGGGTAGAAGCTGGAGCTGCTGCCTGCTGCTGCTACAGAAGGTGCTTGACCCCAGCCCAGCAGCATTTGTCGCCCGTCCGTCCCTCCTCCTCTCCCGTTTTGCTTGCTACCAGGGATGCTGTTGCAAAGGAGGCTCTGACATCCCTGAAAGCAGCAGCACAGGCGGTGGAGGTGTTTGGGGAGGAGAAGGCAGAGCTGCTGATCCGGAAGGTGTTCTAATCTGGCTTTGCACTTTTCTGTCTCTTTGCAACCAGGGATGCGGTAGCAAAGGAGGCTCTCACATCCCTGAAGGCGGCAGCAGAGGCGGTGGAAGTCTGTGGGGGAAAGGCAGAGCTGCTGGGGCTGGAGGAGCCACACTAGGTGTTGGACCTCAGCGCTTTTCCGCCCCTCCGCCTCTACCGTTCTTTTTTTGCAACCAGGGATGCGGTGGCAAAGGAGGCTCTCACATCCCTGAAAGCAGCAGCAGAGGCAGTGGAGGTGTTTCGGGAGAAGCTGGAGCTGCTGAAGCTGGACCTGGACGAACTCAGTGGGGGCAAGTTCGGAGGCGAGGTGAGTTGGCTAATAGCGGGGATATTGGGTCTGCTTGTGACCGGAGGGTGTTTGGGGAGAAGCTGGAGCTGCTGAGGCTGGACCTGGACGAACTCATTGGGGGCAAGTTTGGCGGAGAGGTGAGTCCGCTTATAGCGGGGATGACCCTGCTTTTCAATGGTGGAGGCCTCTTGGGAAAATCTGGAGGTGCTAAGGCTGGAGCTGGATGAGTGCAGTGCAAATTTGGTGGCGAGACGAGTCTGCTTATAGCGGGGATCATAAGCCTGGTTGTCCTAGGAATGAGGATGGTGTATGACTAGCAGGTAAAGCTGGAGCTGGACTTGGACTGGTCTGGTCTGGTCTGGACGAGCATAGTGGGCTTTCACAGCTGTGTCTGATGATTGTGGGGGTTAGCGAGGGTGAGGTTGCTCATAGCGGGGATAAGTGAAGATGAGGCTATTTATCGCGAAGATTTGCTCTATTCAATGTACCTGGACGCCTTTACAGAGGGGGAGGGAGAAAGCTCAAGAAGCACCTTCGTTTCCGCCCTCCTCTCCCCCCTCCCCCCTCCCCCCTCTCCCCCTCTCCCCCTCCTCGAGATAAACCCCTTGTTCTTTCCGCTTCCCCCCCACGAGATGGTGCTCTCTAGTGTTCGAGATGCTGCTCTCTAGTGTTCGAGATGCTGCTCTCTAGTGGTCGAGATGCTGCTCTCTAGTGTTCGAGATGCTGCTCTCTAGTGTTCGAGATGCTGCTCTCTAGTGTTCGAGATGCTGCTCTCTATTGTTCGAGATGCTGCTCTCTAGTGTTCGAGATGCTGCTCTCTAGTGTTCGAGATGCTGCTCTCTAGTGTTTGAGATGCAGGCTGTGGGTGAGATCCCGGAGGACATCAAGGTGGCTCTGACCGCTGCCGTGAAGCGCTATTCGGCGTACCTGGACGCTTTCAAAGAGGAGGGGGGGTGCGCTGATTACACCTTTTGTTTTCCCCCCACCCCCCCCTCCAACTCCCCCCTGCAGGCTGTGGGTAAGATCCCGGAGGACATCAAGGCGGCTCTGGCTTCTGCTCTGAAGCGCTCTTCAGGTACCTTGACTCTTTTAAAGAGGAGGAGGGGGGTCGTTGGAGATGCACCCCCTGTTCTTTCCGCTTCTCCCCCCATGCAATGCCGGCTGTGTGGGTAAGATCCCGGACGACACGAAGGCGGTTCTCGCCTCTGCTCTCAAGCGCTGTTTTAAAGAGGAGGAGGAGAAGGGGTGGCTGCTGAATGCACCTTTCCTTCCCAACTCCCTTCCACTGCTCAATGCAGGCGGTGGGTAAGATCCCGGACGACATGAGGGCGGCTCTCTCCGCTGCTCTCAAGTGCTATACAGTATACCTGGACTCCCCGTTCCTCCTCTTCCCCCCCGGTCCTGTCCCCCTCTCCCAGTCGGTGGGTAAGATCCCGGACGACATGAAGGCGGCTCTCACCTCTGCCCTGAAGTGCTATTTGGCGTACCTGGACTAGTTCGCAGAGGAAGGGGGGCCTCTGAACACACCTTTTCTCCCCCTCCCCCCGCCTTTCCAACTCCCCCACGCAAGCTGTGGGTAAGATCCCGGAGGACATGAAGGCGGCCCTCTCCTCTGCTCTGAAGCGCTTTGGCGTACCTGGCACCGCTCAAAGAGGAGGAGAGGGTATGCTGATTACACATGTTCTTCCCCCCCCCCCCCCCCTTCCCCCCACCCCCCCTCCCCCCCCTCTTGAATGCAGGCTATGGGTAAGATCCCGGAGAATATGAAGGCGGCCCTCACCTCTGCTCTGAAGCGCTATTCGGCGTATCTGGGGGCTTTCAAAGAGGAGGAGGGGTGGCTGCAGCGCAAGGTGAAGGAGGAGCTGGGCGGCGCACTGATCACTGTGAAGCAGCGGTGCGGACTTGAAGAGGAGTGGAACCAGGTGAGAGGATTAGCCTAGGGGGTGCTTGTGAGTCCGTTGTAGTAGTAGTAGGGGTAAAAGTCACGGGGAAGGAGGAGCTGAGAGGCGTGCTGGTCATAGTGAAGCAGCGGTGTAGCGCACTTGAAGAGGAGTGAAATAAGGCGAGATGAGCCCAACCAGGTTAGCTGTGAGTTCCAGGGTGGGGATAGGGCGGAGGAGGGGTGGCTGCAGCGCAAGGCGAAGGAGGAGCTGGGCGGCGCACGGATCACCGTGAAGCAGCGCGGTGCAGCGGACTGGAGGAGGAGTGGAACCAGGTGGGAGAAAAGGGGAGAGGCATCCAAGGATGATAGCCCAAGGGTACAAGGCAAGGGGAAGAAGGAGCTGGGCGGGGTGCTGATCATCGTGAAGCAGCAATGCAGCGGGCAGCAATGCAATGCGGGCAGCAGTGCAATGCGGGTTTGAAGAGGAGTGGAATTAATTAGGTGAGATGAGCCCACCATGTTTCGAGGCGCCTCAAAGCAGCGTGCAATGCGGGCTTGAAGAGGAGTGGAATTAATTAGGTGAGATGAGCCCACCATGTTTCGAGGCGCCTCAAAGCAGCAGTGCAATGGGGGCTTGAAGAGGAGTGGAATTCATTAGGTGAGATGAGCCCACCATGTTTTGAGGCGCCTCAAAGAGCAGTGCTGCAATGCTGAGGACATGTTGAGGCGCTCAAGGAGCAGTGCAATGCGGGCTTGAAGAGGAGTGGAATCTGGTGAGATGAGGCCAACCATGGGAGATGATGGCCCTAGGGTGGGGAGAGAGGAGGGTAGTTTTGAGGCGCCTCAAAACTAAAATCAACCATGGGAGATGATGGCCCTAGGGTGGGGAGAGAGGAGGGGGGAAGGGGGGGTGAGAAGATGGGCGGCGTGCTTATCACCGTGTAGCAGGCTGGAGGAAATTTGGAGTAAGGTGAGACGGATGGAACAAGGAGAGGGTGGGGATAAGGGCCGGGCAGGCGTGAGTGCTACACTTGCGCAATTGAGCGGAGGATAAGGTGGAATAAGATCAGGTGTATTTTGAGTCGACTCAAAATACACCTGCAATTGATTTTTGAGTCGACTCAAAATACACCTGCATTTGTTTTTTGAGTCGACTCAAAATACACCTGCAATTGATTTTTGAGTCAACTAAAAAATCACCGATTCAAAATACACCTGCAATTGAGCGGAGGATAAGGTGGAATAAGATCATATCCTCCAGGATAAGTGTGACTGGCGTAGCAAGCTTTATGATAAGTGTGGCATCTATTTTTGAGGCGCCTCAAGAATAGACTCCTCACGCATGGTCACAGGTCACAGTGCAGTGGCTATGCGGCAGGCACTGGCTGAGGCCGGCCGGGGCATAGAAGCGAGGAAGGGCTTGTATCGAGTTGACAGATTCTGAGGGGCGTCAATGCAACCCCCCCCCCCCCCCCAAACCCCCCCCCCCGGAGGTGAAGGAAGGGGGGCTCCCTCCCCCAGGAGTAGTCGCTTCCATCCAGACTCCTTCACCAGCAATGGGCACTTTGGTGCATGAGGAACTCTTCGCTTCAAACAGACTCAGCTGGTTACCAAAGAGCGAAGATGCAATGGTAACCAGCTGGAGGAGGTTCTCACATGCTGGAGGAGGTTCTCACATGCTGGAGGAGGTGCTTTGGATAATTTCCTTTGCCGACTCGTGCCTTCTCCACGTGCTTCGGGGTAGCTTATTGGGCACTTTTAAGTCTCCTTCGTTTCCTCCCCATCGCCTGAACTATTCCTCTGCCCCCCACCCCCCCACCCCCCACTCCCACCCCCCCCCCCCGCTCCCACCTACTCCACCCTTTTCGCATGCTGCAGATTAGTCTGCTGGGCACATCGAGCCTCTCTGGATCGTACATTGAGCAACGTGGACACCGATTCCTACACGGGCCTGGAACTTGAGCCAGTATTGCGGAGACCTGCTCGTGTTTCAATGTTTTCTGTTGAAGAGGCACCACACCACACTGTAGCAGCTGAAGCTAGCACACTACGATTGTAAGATGGAAGGCCTGGTGGTGTGAGCTGCCTTTTGTATTGGGTGGACCGCAGAGGAGGTAGTTTGACGACTCATTTCATCTGTAATTTGAGAATTTCTTAAAATATCGATATATGGTGGTTTATATGCCTATTGCCCCATATATATGGCGAATGTGTAGCGGAAAAACTTGGTGTACAATGTGCGTGTTTTACTCGAAACGGAATCACGCCAAAAGGAGAATCTGCCTGCTCTGGCCTCGCCTTAGTAAGTTGCACCAACCTCACTCCCCGTACTGTAATCGTCGTCACCTCGCGTACCTCTCGTCGTTAGTGCACTATAGTCCGCGCGCCTCGCACGACGCATTGGGACCGCACTCTACAGACATAAGAGAAGGCTCTAAAAGCTCTAAAATTATTACATTTAACGGTCGCCATGAGGCTAGAGTTTCGGAATCCTTGTGCTACGTTTCTCCTCGTCGTCGTCGTGGCCTGCCTTCTTCTGCTTCTACCGAACCGCGCCAACTCTCTCCCCCGCCACGGCGGCCGCCCAAACTTCAACGGTAGGCCGCTTCTCTCACACAGCCTCGTAAATGTGGCGGAAGTTCCGTGTGACTTTTGAGTCGACATGAATCCTGGGGTGCCTCTACTAGAGTAAAAGAAAGGATTCGACCCTTCTCTCATATGTCACAACACATTTTTTTATTTCCACTCTGAGGCGCTGGCTTACGAAGGTGTAAGCGATTTGTCTAGCATTGCCCTCCCCCATAATCCTCTATGCCTGGCTTACCCTCTACTTCTTCCACCACATCCTCCCCCCCCCACCCCCCCCTCCCCCACCCCCCTCTCCCCCACCCCCCACTCCCCCCCCCACCCCTCCCCGCCTGTCTTCCCCGATCCACCCCAGACTGGGTCAAGTCGTACCGCCCAGACGCGACGGCTTCTCCGCTCCTTCTCCCACCCCTCCTTGTCCCCCCTTCCCCCCTTCTGGGAGAAGCTGGGATTTGAATGGATTCCTTCCTCCAATCCCCCTTCCCCTCCTCCGTCAGTGATTCAGCTGCCAAGGAGAAGCTGGAGCTGCTGCTACAGCAGGTGCTAGACCCTAGCCCAGCATTTGCCGCACACGCACACGCACACGCATAGTCGTTCCATGCGTTAATCTTCCTTCCTTTCCCCTTTCTTTCCCCTCCGCCACCATTAGTGATTGAGCTCCAAAGGAGAAGCTGGAGCTGCTGCCACACAAGGTGCTAGACCCGACCCCAGCCCAGCATTCGTCGTCCGTCCGTCCCTCCTCCGTCCCCGTTGTGCTTGCAACCAGTGATGCTAGTGATTCATCACTAGAGGCGGAGGAGGCGATGAATCACTAGTGATTCCTCAGGAATATCCGCCTCTAGGAATGGCATTCCTAGAGGCAGCAGTGAAGCGTTGTCATTCCTGAAAGCAGCAGCAGAGGCGGTGGAGCTGCTTGGGTAGAAGCTGGAGCTGCTGCCTGCTGCTGCTACAGAAGGTGCTTGACCCCAGCCCAGCAGCATTTGTCGCCCGTCCGTCCCTCCTCCTCTCCCGTTTTGCTTGCTACCAGGGATGCTGTTGCAAAGGAGGCTCTGACATCCCTGAAAGCAGCAGCACATGCGGTGGAGGTGTTTGGGGAGGAGAAGGCAGAGCTGCTGATCCGGAAGGTGTTCTAATCTGGCTTTGCACTTTCCTGTCTCTTTGCAACCAGGGATGCGGTGGCAAAGGAGGCTCTCACATCCCTGAAGGCGGCAGCAGAGGCGGTGGAAGTCTGTGGGGGAAAGGCAGAGCTGCTGGGGCTGGAGGAGCCACACTAGGTGTTGGACCTCAGCGCTTTTCCGCCCCTCCGCCTCTACCGTTCTTTCTTTGCAACCAGGGATGCGGTGGCAAAGGAGGCTCTCACATCCCTGAAAGCAGCAGCAGAGGCGGTGGAGGTGTTTGGGGAGAAGCTGGAGCTGCTGAGGCTGGACCTGGACGAACTCAGTGGGGGCAAGTTCGGAGGCGAGGTGAGTCGGCTTATAGCGGGGATATTGGGTCTGCTTGTGACTGGAGGGTGTTTGGGGAGAAGCTGGAGCTGCTGAGGCTGGACCTGGACGAACTCATTGGGGGCAAGTTTGGCGGAGAGGTGAGTCGGCTTATAGCGGGGATGACCCTGCTTTTCAATGGTGGAGGCCTCTTGGGAAAATCTGGAGGTGCAAAGGCTGGAGCTAGATGAGTGCAGTGCAAATTTGGTGGCGAGACGAGTCTGCTTATAGCGGGGATCATAAGCCTGGTTGTCCTAGGAATGAGCATGGTGCATGAATAGCAGGTAAAGTTGGAGCTGGACTTGGACTGGTCTGGTCTGGTCTGGTCTGGTCTGGTCTGGACGAGCATAGTGGGCTTTCACAGCTGTGTCTGATGATTGTGGGGGTTAGCGAGGGTGAGGTTGTTCATAGCGGGGATAAGTGAAGATGAGGCTATTTATCGCGAAGATTAGCTCTATTCAGTGTACCTGGACGCCTTTACAGAGGGGGAGGGAGAATGCTCGAGAAGCACCTTCGTTTCCGCCCTCCTCTCCCCCCTCCCCCCTCCCCCCTCTCCCCCTCTCCCCCTCCTCGAGATAAACCCCTTGTTCTTTCCGCTTCCCCCCACGAGATGCTGCTCTCTAGGGTTCGAGATGCTGCTCTCTAGTGTTCGAGATGCTGCTCTCTATTGTTCGAGATGCTGCTCTCTAGTGTTCGACATGCTGCTCTCTAGTGTTCGACATGCTGCTCTCTAGTGTTCGAGATGCTGCTCTCTAGCATTCGAGATGCTGCTCTCTAGCGTTCGAGATGCTGCTCTCTAGCGTTCGAGATGCTGCTCTCTAGTGTTCGAGATGCTGCTCTCTAGTGTTTGAGATGCAGGCTGTGGGTGAGATCCCGGAGGACATCAAGGTGGCTCTGACTGCTGCCGTGAAGCGCTATTCGGCGTACCTGGCCGCTTTCAAAGAGGAGGGGGGGTGCGCTGATTACACCTTTTGTCTTCCCCCCACCCCCCCCCCTCCAACTCTCCCTTGCAGGCTGTGGGTAAGATCCCAGAGGACATCAAGGCGGCTTTGGCTTCTGCCCTGAAGCGCTCTTCACGTACCTTGACTCTTTTAAAGAGGAGGAGGGGGGTCGTTGGAGATGCACCCCCTGTTCTTTCCGCTTCTCCCCCCATGCAATGCCGGCTGTGTGGGTAAGATCCCGGACGACACGAAGGCGGTTCTCGCCTCTGCTCTCAATCGCTGTTCGGCGTATCTGGACGCTTTCAAAGAGGAGGAGGAGAAGGGGTGGCTGCTGAATGCACCTTTCCTTCCCAACTCCCTTCCACTGCTCAATGCAGGCGGTGGGTAAGATCCCGGACGACATGAGGGCGGCTCTCTCCGCTGCTCTCAAGCGCTATACAGTATACCTGGACTCCCCGTTCCTCCTCCTCCCCCCCGGTCCTGTCCCCCTCTCCCAGTCGGTGGGTAAGATCCCGGACGGCATGAAGGCGGCTCTCGCCTCTGCCCTGAAGTGCTATTCAGCGTACCTGGGCTAGTTTGCAGAGGAGGGGGGGCCTCTGAACACACCCTCCCCCCGCCTTTCCAACTCCCCCACGCAAGCTGTGGGTAAGGTCCCAGAGGACATGAAGGCGGCCCTCTCCTCTGCTCTGAAGTGCTTTGGTGTACCTGGCGCCGCTCAAAGAGGAGGAGGGGGTGTGCTGATTACACATGTTCTTCCCCCCCCCCCCGCCCCCCCCCACCCCCCTCCCCCCCCTCTTGAATGCAGGCTGTGGGTAAGATCCCGGAGGACATGAAGGCGGCCCTCACCTCTGCTCTGAAGCGCTATTCGGCGTATCTGGGCGCTTTCAAAGAGGAGGAGGGGTGGCTGCAGCGCAAGGTGAAGGAGGAGCTGGGCGGCGCACTGATCACCGTGAAGCAGCGGTGCAGCGGACTTGAAGAGGAGTGGAACCAGGTGAGAGGATTAGCCTAGGGGTTGCTTGTGAGTCCAAGTAATAGTAGTAGTAGGGGTAAAAGTCACGGGGAAGGAGGAGCTGAGAGGCGTGCTGGTCACAGTGAAGCAGCGGTGCAGCGGGCTTGAAGAGGAGTGGAATAAGGCGAGATGAGCCCAACCAGGTTAGCTGTGAGGTCCAGGGTGGGGATAGGGCGGAGGAGGGGTGGCTGCAGCGCAAGGCGAAGGAGGAGCTGGGCGGCGCACTGATCACTGTGAAGCAGCGGTGCAGCGGACTGGAGGAGGAGTGGAACCAGGTGAGAGGATTAGCCTAGGGGGTGCTTGTGAGTCCAAGTTGTCGTAGTAGTAGGGGTAAAAGGCCAAGAGTACAAGGCAAGGGGAAGGAGGAGCTGGTCACCGTGAAGCAGCGGACTGGAGGAGGAGTGGAGACAGGTGAGAGACTGGTCTTTGGGTTGGGTGGTGGGGTTAGCAGCGAGGGTGGGGCGCTAGACACTTTGGTGAAGCAAGAGCTTGGAAGGGTGCTGATCACAGTGAAGCAGCGATGCAGCGGACTTGAGGAGGAGTGGAAGCAGGTGGGTGAGAGGTACACCCAAGGATGGCAGCATTGGTTGCTGGTTGACTAAGGGTACAAGACAAGGCGAAGAAGGAGCTGGGCGGCATGCTGATCACGGTGAAGCAGCATTGCAGCGGGCAGCAATGCAATGCGGGCTTGAAGAGGAGTGGAATCTGGTGAGATGAGCCCAACCATGGGAGATGATGGCCGTAGGGTGGGGAGAGAGGAGGGTAGTTTTGAGGCGCCTCAAAACTAAAATCAACCATGGGAGATGATGGCCCTAGGGTGGGGAGAGAGGAGGGGAAGGGGGGGTGAGAAGTTGGGCAGCGTGCTGATCACCGTGTAGCAGGCTGGAGGAAATTTGGAGTAAGGTGAGACAGATGGAACAAGGAGAGGGTGGGGATAAGAGCCGGGCAGGGGTGAGTGCTACACTTGTGCAATTGAGCGGAGGATAAGGTGGAATAAGATCATATCCTCCAGGGTAAGTGTAACTGGAGCTGCGAGCTTTGTGATAAGTGTGGCATCTATTTTTGAGGCGCCTCAAGAATAGACTCCTCACGCATGGTCACAGGTCACAGTGCAGTGGCTATGGAGCAGAGGTGACTTTTGAGTCGACTCAAAAGTCACCCCATGGTCACAGATCACGGAGCAGTGGCTATGCAGTAGGCATGGGCTGAGGCCGGCTGGGGTCTAGAAGCGAGGAAGGGCCAAGAAGCGAGGAAGGGCTTGGATCGAGTTGAAGGATTCAGAGGGGCGTCAATGCAACCTGCCCCCTCCCCACCCCCCCCCTGGAGGTGAAGGAGGGGGGCTCCCTCCCCCAGGGGTAGTCATTTCCAGACTCCTTCACCAGCAATGGGAACTTTGGTGCATGAGGAACTCTTCGCTTCAAGCAGACTCAGCTAGTTACCAAAGAGCGAAGATGCAGTGGTAACTAGTTGGAGGAGGTTCTCACATGCTGGAGGAGGTGCATTGGATCATTTCCTTTGCCGACTCGTTCCTTCTCCGCGTGCTTTGGGGTAGCTTATTGGGCACTTTAAGTCTCCTTCGTCTCCTCCCCATCGCCTGAACTATTCCTCTCCCTCCCCCCCCCCACCCCCACCCCCCTCTCCCACCAAACCCCCCCCCCCCCCCCCCCCGCTCCCACCTACTCCACCCTTTCCGCATGCTGCAGATTAGTCTGCTGGGCACATCGGGCCTCTCTGGATCGTACATTGAGCAACGAGGACACTGATTCCTACACAGGCCTGGAACTTGAGGCAGTATTGCGGAAATATGCTCGTGGTTCAATGTTTTCTGTTGGTTTACTCATTGAAGAGGCACCACACCACACCGTAGCAGCTGAAGCTAGCGCACTACGATTGTAAGATGGAAGGCCTGGTGGTGGGAGCTACCTTTTGTATTGGGTGGACCGCAGAGGAGGTAGTTTGACGACTCATTTCATATGTAATTTGAGAATTTCTTTAAATATCGATATATGGGGGCTTATATGCCTATTGTCCCATATATATGGCGAATGTGTAGCGGAAAAACTTGGTGTACAATGTGCGTGTTTTACTCGAAACGGAATCACGCCAAAAGGAGAATCTGCCTACTCTGGCCTCGCCTTACTAAGTTGCACCAACCTCACTCCCCGTACTGTAATCGTCGTTGCCTCGCGTACCTCTCATCGTTAGTGCACTATAGTCCGCGCGCCTCGCACGACGCATTGGGACCGCACTCTACAGACATAAGAGAAGGCTCTAAAAGCTCTCAGCTCTAAAATTATTACATTTAGCGGTCGCCATGAGGCTAGAGTTTCGGAATCCTTGTGCTACGTTTCTCCTCGTCGTCGTCGTGGCCTGCCTTCTTCTGCTTCTACCGAACCGCGCCAACTCTCTCCCCCGCCACGGCGGCCGCCCAAACTTCAACAGTAGGCCGCTTCTCTCACACAGCCTCGTAAATGTGGCGGAAGTTCCGTGTGACTTTTGAGTCGACATAAATTCAGGGGTGCCTCTAATAGAGTAAAAGAAAGGATTCGACCCTTCTCTCGTATGTCACAACACATTTTTTTATTTCCACTCTGAGGCGCTGGCTTACGAAAGTGTAAGCGATTTGTCTAGCATTGCCCTCCCCCATAATCCTCTATGCCTGGCTTACCCTCTACTTCTTCCACCACATCCTCCCCCCCCCACCCCCCCCCTCCCCCACCCCCTCTTCCCCCCCCACCCCTCCCCGCCTGTCTTCCCCGTTCCGCCCTAGACTGGGTCAAGTCGTACCGCCCAGACGCGGCAGGTTCTCCGCTCCTTCTCCCACCCCTCCTTGTCCCCCCTTCCCCCCTTCTGTGAGAAGCTGGGATTTGAATGGATTCCTTCCTCCAATCCCCCTTCCCCTCCTCCGTCAGTGATTCAGCTGCCAAGGAGAAGCTGGAGCTGCTGCTACAGCAGGTGCTAGACCCCAGCCCAGCATTTGCCGCACACGCACACGCATAGTCGTTAGTGCACTATAAGTTGCACCAACCTCACTCCCCGTACTGTAATCGTCGTCGCCTCGCGTACCTCTCGTCGTTAGTGCACTATAGTCCGCGCGCCTCGCACGACGCATTGGGACCGCACTCTACAGACATAAGAGAAGGCTCTAAAAGCTCTCAGCTCTAAAATTATTACATTTAACGGTCGCCATGAGGCTAGAGTTTCGGAATCCTTGTGCTACGTTTCTCCTCGTCGTCGTCGTGGCCTGCCTTCTTTTGCTTCTACCGAACCGCGCCAACTCTCTCCCCCGCCACGGCGGCCGCCCAAACTTCAACAGTAGGCCGCTTCTCTCACACAGCCTCGTAAATGTGGCGGAAGTTCCGTGTGACTTTTGAGTCGACATGAATTCTGGGGTGCCTCTACTAGAGTAAAAGAAAGGATTCGACCCTTCTCTCGTATGTCACAACACATTTTTTTATTTCCACTCTGAGGCGCTGGCTTACGAAGGTGTAAGCGATTTGTCTAGCATTGCCCTCCCCCATAATCCTCTATGCCTGGCTTACCCTCTACTTCTTCCACCACATCCTCCCCCCCCACCCCCCCCCTCCCCCACCCCCCTCTCCCCCACCCCCACTCCCCCCCCCACCCCTCCCCGCCTGTCTTCCCCGATCCACCCCAGACTGGGTCAAGTCGTACCGCCCAGACGCGGCGGCTTCTCCGCTCCTTCTCCCACCCCTCCTTGTCCCCCCTTCCCCCCTTCTGGGAGAAGCTGGGATTTGAATGGATTCCTTCCTCTAATCCCCCTTCCCCTCCTCCGTCAGTGATTCAGCTGCCAAGGAGAAGCTGGAGCTGCTGCTACAGCAGGTGCTAGACCCCAGCCCAGCATTTGCCGCACACGCACACGCACACGCATGCGTTACTCTTCCTTCCTTTCCCCTTTCTTTCCCCTCCGCCACCATCAGTGATTGAGCTCCAAAGGAGAAGCTGGAGCTGCTGCCACACAAGGTGCTAGACCCGACCCCAGCCCAGCATTCGTCGTCCGTCCGTCCCTCCTCCGTCCCCGTTGTGCTTGCAACCAGTGATGCTAGTGATTCATCACTAGAGGCGGAGGAGGCGATGAATCACTAGTGATTCCTCAGGAATATCCGCCTCTAGGAATGGCATTCCTAGAGGCAGCAGTGAAGCGTTGTCATTCCTGAAAGCAGCAGCAGAGGCGGTGGAGGTGCTTGGGTAGAAGCTGGAGCTCCTGCCTGCTGCTGCTACAGAAGGTGCTTGACCCCAGCCCAGCAGCATTTGTCGCCCGTCCGTCCCTCCTCCTCTCCCGTTTTGCTTGCTACCAGGGATGCTGTTGCAAAGGAGGCTCTGACATCCCTGAAAGCAGCAGCACATGCGGTGGAGGTGTTTGGGGAGGAGAAGGCAGAGCTGCTGATCCGGAAGGTGTTCTAATCTGGCTTTGCACTTTCCTGTCTCTTTGCAACCAGGGATGCGGTGGCAAAGGAGGCTCTCACATCCCTGAAGGCGGCAGCAGAGGCGGTGGAAGTCTGTGGGGGAAAGGCAGAGCTGCTGGGGCTGGAGGAGCCACACTAGGTGTTGGACCTCAGCGCTTTTCCGCCCCTCCGCCTCTACCGTTCTTTTTTTGCAACCAGGGATGCGGTGGCAAAGGAGGCTCTCACATCCCTGAAAGCAGCAGCAGAGGCGGTGGAGGTGTTTGGGGAGAAGCTGGAGCTGCTGAGGCTGGACCTGGACGAACTCAGTGGGGGCAAGTTTGGCGGAGAGGTGAGTCCGCTTATAGCGGGGATATTGGGCCTGCTTGTGACCGGAGGGTGTTCGGGGAGAAGCTGGAGCTGCTGAGGCTGGACCTGGACGAACTCAGCGGGGGCAAGTTTGGCGGAGAGGTGAGTCGGCTTATAGTGGGGATTACTCTGCTTTTCAATGATGGAGGCCTCTTGGGAAAGTCTGGAGGTGCTAAGGCTGGAGCTGGATGAATGCAGTGCAAATTTGGTGGCAAGACGACTGCTTTTGAGTCGACTCAAAAGCGGATCTGGAGGTGCTAAGGCTGGAGCTGGATGAGTGCAGTGCAAATTTGGTGGTGAGACGACTGCTTTTGAGTCGACTCAAAAGCGGATCTGGAGGTGCTAAGGCTGGAGCTGGATGAATGCAGTGCAAATTTGGTGGCAAGACGACAGCTTTTGAGTCGACTCAAAAGCAGATCTGGAGGTACTAAGGCTGGAGCTGGATGAGTGCAGTGCAAATTTGGTGGCGACACGACTGCTTTTGAGTCGACTCAAAAGCAGATCTGGAGGTGCAAAGGCTGGAGCTGGATGAGTGCAGTGCAAATTTGGTGGCGAGACGAGTCTGCTTATAGCAGCGATCATTAGCCTGCTTGTCCTAGGAATGAGCGTGTTGTTTGACTAGCAGGTAAAGTTGGAGCTGAGCTGGTCTGGTCTGGTCTGGTCTGGTCTGGTCTGGTCTGGTCTGGTCTGGTCTGGTCTGGTCTGGTCTGGTCTGGTTTGGACTGGACTGGACTGGACTGGACTGGACTGGACTGGACTTGACTTGACTTGACTTGACTTGCATAGTGGGCTTTCACAGCTGTGTCTGATGATTGTGGGGGTTAGCGAGGGTGAGGTTGCTTATAGCGGGGATAAGTGAAGGTGAGGCTGCTTATAGCCGTGATGAGTGAAGGTGAGGCTATTTATCGCAAAGATAAGCTCTATTCAGTGTACCTGGACGCCTTTACAGAGGGGGAGGGGGAATGCTCGAGAAGCACCTTCGTTTCCGCCCTCCCCCACTGAATGCAGGCTGGGGGTAAGTCCCGCGTTTGCGGAGGAGGGGGGGTGATTTGAAAACACTCCCTGTTCATCCCCCCTCCTCGCCCCCTCCCCCCTCTCCCTCTCCCCCTCCTCCAAATACACCCCTTGTTCTTTCCGCTTCCCCCCCACGAGATGCTGCTCCCTAGTGTTTGACATGAAGCGCCCTGAAGCGCTATTCGGCGTACCTGGGCGCTTTCAAAGAGGAGGGGGGGTGCGCTGATTACACCTTTTCTCTCCCCCCTCCCTTCCCCCCCCCCCCCCCTCCAACTCCGCCCTGCAGGCTGTGGGTGAGATCCCGGATCTTTCCCAGACATCAAGGCGGCTCTGGCTTCTGCCCTGAAGCGCTCTTCATGTACCTTGACTCTTTTAAAGAGGAGGAGGGCGGTTGTTTGAGATCCACCGCTGTTCTTTCCGCTGTTCTTTCCGCTGTGCTTTCCGCTTCCCCTCCCATGCAATGCAGGCGGTGGGTAAGATCCCGGACGACATGAGGCGGCTCTCTCCGCTGCTCTCAAGTGCTATATAGTGCACCTGGACTCCCCGTTCCTCCTCCTCCCCCCCGGTCTTGTCCCCCTCTCCCAGTCGGTGGGTAAGATCCCGGACGACATGAAGGCGGCTCTCGCCTCTGCCCTGAACTGCTATTCGGCGTACCTGGACTAGTTCGCAGAGGAGGGGGGGCCTCTGAACACACATTTTCTCCCCCTCCCCCCGCCTTTCCAACTCCCCCACGCAAGCTGTGGGTAAGATCCCGGAGGACATGAAGGCGGCCCTCTCCTCTGCTCTGAAGCGCTTTGGCGTACCTGGCGCTGCTCGAAGAGGAGGAGAGGGTATGCTGATTACACATGTTCTCCCCCCCCCAACCCCCCCCACCCCCCTTCCCCCCTCTTGAATGCAGGCTGTGGGTAAGATCCTGGAGGACATGAAGGCGGCCCTCACCTCTGCTTTGAAGCGCTATTCGGCGTATCTGGGCGCTTTCAAAGAGGAGGAGGGGTGGCTGCAGCGCACGGTGAAGGAGGAGCTGGGCGGCGCACTGATCACTGTGAAGCAGCGGTGCAGCGGACTTGTTGAGGAGTGGAACCAGGTGAGAGGATTAGCCTAGTGGGTGCTTTTGTAGTAGTAGTAGGGGTAAAAGTCACGGGGAAGGAGGAGCTGAGAGGCGAGCTGAAGCAGCGGTGTAGCGCACTTGAAGAGGAGTGGAATAAGGCGAGATGAGCCCAACCAGGTTAGCTGTGAGTTCCAGGGTGGGGATAGGGCGGAGGAGGGGTGGCTGCAGCGCAAGGCGAAGGAGGAGCTGGGCGGCGCACGGATCACCGTGAAGCAGCGCGGTGCAGCGGACTGGAGGAGGAGTGGAACCAGGTGGGAGAAAAGGGGAGAGGCATCCAAGGATGATAGCCCAAGGGTACAAGGCAAGGGGAAGAAGGAGCTGGGCGGGGTGCTGATCATCGTGAAGCAGCAATGCAGCGGGCAGCAATGCAATGCGGGCAGCAGTGCAATGCGGGCTTGAAGAGGAGTGGAATTAATTAGGTGAGATGAGCCCACCATGTTTCGAGGCGCCTCAAAGCAGCAGTGCAATGGGGGCTTGAAGAGGAGTGGAATTCATTAGGTGAGATGAGCCCACCATGTTTTGAGGCGCCTCAAAGCAGCAGTGCAATGCGGGCTTGAAGAGGAGTGGAATATGGTGAGATGAGGCCAACCATGGGAGATGATGGCCCTAGGGTGGGGAGAGAGGAGGGTAGTTTTGAGGCGCCTCATTACTAAAATCAACCATGGGACATGATGGCCCTAGGGTGGGGAGAGAGGAGGGGGGAAGGGGGGGTGAGAAGATGGGCGGCGTTCTGATCACCGTGTAGCAGGCTGGAGGAAATTTGAAGTAAGGTGAGACGGATGGAACAAGGAGAGGGTGGGGATAAGGGCCGGGCAGGCGTGAGTGCTACACTTTCGCAATTGAGCGGAGGATAAGGTGGAATAAGATCAGGTGTATTTTGAGTCAACTCAAAATACACCTGCAATTGATTTTTGAGTCGACTCAAAATACACCTGCATTTGTTTTTTGAGTCGACTCAAAATACACCTGCACTTGATTTTTGAGTCAACTCAAAAATCACCGACTCAAAATACACCTGCAATTGAGTGGAGGATAAGGTGGAATAAGATCATATCCTCCAGGGTAAGTGTAACTGGAGCAGCGAGCTTTGTGATAAGTGTGGCATCTATTTTTGAGGCGCCTCAAGAATAGACTCCTCACGCATGGTCCCAGGTCACACTGCAGTGGCTATGCGGTAGGCACTGGCTGAGGCCGGCCGGGGCATAGAAGCGAGGAAGGGCTTGGATCGAGTTGACGGATTCTGAGGGGCGTCAATGCAACCTCCCCCCCCCAACGCGCCCCCCCCCCCGGAGGTGAAGGAAGGGGGGCTCCCTCCCCCAATAGTAGTCGTTTCCATCCAGACTCCTTCACCAGCAATGGGCACTTTGGTGCATGAGGAACTCTTCGCTTCAAGCAGACTCAGCTGGTTACCAAAGAGCACACCTTTTGCTGGTTACCAAACTGCTATTCGGCGTACCTGGACTAGTTCGCAGAGGAGGGGGGGGCTCTGAACACACCTTTTCTCCCCCTCCCCCCGCCTTTCCAACTCCCCCACGCAAGCTGTGGGTAAGATCCCGGAGGACATGAAGGCGGCCCTCTCCTATGCTCTGAAGCGCTTTGGCGTACCTGGCGCCGCTCAAAGAGGAGGAGAGGGTATGCTGATTACACATGTTCTTCCCCCCCCCAACCCCCCCCACCCCCCCTTTCCCCCCTTCTCCCACCCCTCCTTGTCCCCCCTTCCCCCCTTCTGGGAGAAGCTGGGATTTGAATGGATTCCTTCCTCCAATCCCCCTTCCCCTCCTCCGTCAGTGATTCAGCTGCCAAGGAGAAGCTGGAGCTGCTGCTACAGCAGGTGCTAGACCCCAGCCCAGCATTTGCCGCACACGCACACGCATAGTCGTTCCATGCGTTACTCTTCCTTCCTTTCCCCTTTCTTTCCCCTCCGCCACCATCAGTGATTGAGCTCCAAAGGAGAAGCTGGAGCTGCTGCCACACAAGGTGCTAGACCCGACCCCAGCCCAGCATTCGTCGTCCGTCCGTCCCTCCTCCGTCCCCGTTGTGCTTGCAACCAGTGATGCTAGTGATTCATCACTAGAGGCGGAGGAGGCGATGAATCACTAGTGATTCCTCAGGAATATTCGCCTCTAGGAATGGCATTCCTAGGGGCAGCAGTGAAGCGTTGTCATTCCTGAAAGCAGCAGCAGAGGCGGTGGAGGTGCTTGGGTAGAAGCTGGAGCTGCTGCCTGCTGCTGCTACAGAAGGTGCTTGACCCCAGCCCAGCAGCATTTGTCGTCCGTCCGTCCCTCCTCCTCTCCCGTTTTGCTTGCTACCAGGAATGCTGTTGCAAAGGAGGCTCTGACATCCCTGAAAGCAGCAGCACATGCGGTGGAGGTGTTTGGGGAGGAGAAGGCAGAGCTGCTGATCCGGAAGGTGTTCTAATCTGGCTTTGCACTTTCCTGTCTCTTTGCAACCAGGGATGCGGTGGCAAAGGAGGCTCTCACATCCCTGAAGGCGGCAGCAGAGGTGGTGGAAGTCTGTGGGGGAAAGGCAGAGCTGCTGGGGCTGGAGGAGCCACACTAGGTGTTGGACCTCAGCGCTTTTCCGCCCCTCCGCCTCTACCGTTCTTTCTTTGCAACCAGGGATGCGGTGGCAAAGGAGGCTCTCACATCCCTGAAAGCAGCAGCAGAGGCGGTGGAGGTTTTTGGGGAGAAGCTGGAGCTACTGAGGCTGGACCTGGACGAACTCAGTGGGGGCAAGTTTGGCGGCGAGGTGAGTCGGCTTATAGCGGGGATGACTCTGCTTTTCAATGGTGGAGGCCTCTTCAGAAAGTCTGGAGGTGCTAAGGCTGGAGCTGGATGAGTGCAGTGCAAATTTGGTGGCAAGACGGACTGCTTTTGAGTCGACTCAAAAGCGGATCTGGAGGTGCTAAGGCTGGAGCTGGATGAATGCAGTGCAAATTTGGTGGCGAGACGAGTCTGCTTATAGCGGCGATCATTTTTTTTTTGAGTCGACTCAAAATACTCCTGCAATTGATTTTTGAGTCAACTCAAAAATCACCGACTCAAAATACACCTGCAATTGAGCGGAGGATAAGGTTGAATAAGATCATATCCTCAAGGGTAAGTGTGACTGGCGTTGCAAGCTTTGTGATAAGTGTGGCATCTATTTTTGAGGCGCCTCAAGAATAGACTCCTCACGCATGGTCCCAAGTCACAGTGCAGTGGCTATGCGGCAGGCACTGGCTGAGGCCGGCCGGGGCATAGAAGCGAGGAAGGGCTTGGATTGAGTAGACGGATTCTGAGGGGCGTCAATGCAACCTCCCCCCCCCAACGCCCCCCCTCCGGAGGTGAAGGAAGGGGGGCTCCCTCCCCACGAGTAGTCGTCTCCATCCAGACTCCTTCACCAGCAATGGGCACTTTGGTGCATGAGGAACTCTTCGCTTCAAGCAGACTCAGCTGGTTACCAAAGAGCGAAGATGCAGTGGTAACCAGCTGGAGGAGGTTCTCACATGCTGGAGGAGGTTCTCACATGCTGGAGGAGGTGCTTTGGATAATTTCCTTTGCCGACTCGTGCCTTCTCCACGTGCTTCGGGGTAGCTTATTGGGCACTTTTAAGTCTCCTTCGTTTCCTCCCCATCGCCTGAACAATTCCTCTCCCTCCCCCCCCCCACCCCCACTCCCACCCCCCTCCCCCCCCCCGCTCCACCTACTCCACCCTTTCCGCATGCTGCAGATTAGTCTGCTGGGCACATCGGGCCTCTCTGGATCGTACATTGAGCAACGGGGACACTGATTCCTACACGGGCCTGGAACTTGAGGCAGTATTGCGGAAACCTGCTCGTGGTTCAATGTTTTCTGTTGGTTTACTGATTGAAGAGGCACCACACCACACCATAGCAGCTGAAGCTAGCGCACTACGATTGTAAGATGGAAGGCCTGGTGGTGTGAGCTGCCTTTTGTATTGGGTGGACCGCAGAGAAGGTAGTTTGACGACTCATTTCATCTGTAATTTGAGAATTTCTTAAAATATCGATATATGGTGGTTTATATGCCTATTGTCCCATATATATGGCGAATGTGTAGCGGAAAAACTTGGTGTACAATGTGCGTGTTTTACTCGAAACGGAATCACGCCAAAAGGAGAATCTGCCTGCTCTGGCCTCGCCTTACTAAGTTGCACCAACCTCACTTCCCGTACTGTAATCGTCGTCGCCTCGCGTACCTCTCGTCGTTAGTGCACTATAGTCCGCGCGCCTCGCACGACGCATTGGGACCGCACTCTACAGACATAAGAGAAGGCTCTAAAAGCTCTCAGCTCTTAAATTATTACATTTAATGGTCGCCATGAGGCTAGAGTTTCGGAATCCTTGTGCTACGTTTCTCCTCGTCGTCGTCGTGGCCTGCCTTCTTCTGCTTCTACCGAACCGCGCCAACTCTCTCCCTCGCCACGGCGGCCGCCCAAACTTCAACGGTAGGCTGCTTCTCTCACACAGCCTCATAAATGTGGCGGAAGTTCCGTGTGACTTTTGAGTCGACATGAATTCTGGGGTGCCTCTACTAGAGTAAAAGAAAGGATTCGAACCTTCTCTCGTATGTCACAACACATTTTTTTATTTCCACTCTGAGGCGCTGGCTTTACGAAAGTGTAAGCGATTTGTCTAGCATTGCCCTCCCCCATAATCCTCCTATGCCTGGCTTACCCTCTACTTCTTCCACCACATCCTCCCCCCCCCCCCCCGCTCCCCCACCCCCCTCTCCCCCACCCCCACTCCCCCCCCACCCCTCCCCGCCGTCTTCCCCGTTCCGCCCCAGACTGGGTCAAGTCGTACCGCCCAGACGCGGTGGCTTCTCCGCTCCTTCTCCACCCTCCTTGTCCCCCCTTCCCCCCTTCTGGGAGAAGCTGGGATTTGAATGGATTCCTTCCTCCAATCCCCCTTCCCCTCCTCCCGTCAGTGATTCAGCTGCCAAGGAGAAGCTGGAGCTGCTGCTACAGCAGGTGCTAGACCCAGCCCAGCATTTGCCGCACACGCACACGCACACGCACAGTCGTTCCATGCGTTACTCTTCCTTCCTTTCCCCTTTCTTTTCCCCCGCCACCATCAGTGATTGAGCTCCAAAGGAGAAGCTGGAGCTGCTGCCACACAAGGTGCTAGACCCGACCCCAGCCCAGCATTCGTCGTCCGTCCGTCCCTCCTCCGTCCCCGTTGTGCTTGCAACCAGTGATGCTAGTGATTCATCACTAGAGGCGGAGGAGGCGATGAATCACTAGTGATTCCTCAGGAATATCCGCCTCTAGGAATGGCATTCCTAGAGGCAGCAGTGAAGCGTTGTCATTCCTGAAAGCAGCAGCAGAGGCGGTGGAGGTGCTTGGGTAGAAGCTGGAGCTGCTGCCTGCTGCTGCTACAGAAGGTGCTTGACCCCAGCCCAGCAGCATTTGTCGTCCGTCCGTCCCTCCTCCTCTCCCGTTTTGCTTGCTACCAGGGATGCTGTTGCAAAGGAGGCTCTGACATCCCTGAAAGCAGCAGCACATGCGGTGGAGGTGTTTGGGGAGGAGAAGGCAGAGCTGCTGATCCGGAAGGTGTTCTAATCTGGCTTTGCACTTTCCTGTCTCTTTGCAACCAGGGATGCGGTGGCAAAGGAGGCTCTCACATCCCTGAAGGCGGCAGCAGAGGCGGTGGAAGTCTGTGGGGGAAAGGCAGAGCTGCTGGGGCTGGAGGAGCCACACTAGGTGTTGGACCTCAGCGCTTTTCCACCCCTCCGCCTCTACCGTTCTTTCTTTGCAACCAGGGATGCGGTGGCAAAGGAGGCTCTCACATCCCTGAAAGCAACAGAAGAGGCGGTGGAGGCTTTTGGGAGAAGCTGGAGCTGCTGAGGCTGGACCTGGACGAACTCAGTGGGGGCAAGTTCGGAGGCGAGGTGAGTCGGCTTATAGCGGGGATATTGGGTCTGCTTGTGACCGGAGGGTGTTTGGGGAGAAGCTGGAGCTGCTGAGGCTGGACCTGGACGAACTCAGTGGGGGCAAGTTTGGCGGAGAGGTGAGTCGGCTTATAGCGGGATGACCCTGCTTTTCAATGGTGGAGGCCTCTTGGGAAAGTCTGGAGGTGCTAAGGCTGGAGCTGGATGAGTCCAGTGCAAATTTGGTGGCGAGACGACTGCTTTTGAGTCGACTCAAAAGCGGATCTGGAGGTGCTAAGGCTGGAGCTGGATGAATGCAGTGCAAATTTGGTGGCGAGACGAGTCTGCTTATAGCGGCGATCATTAGCCTGTTTGTCCTAGGAATGAGCGTGGTATTTGACTAGCAGGTAAAGTTGGAGCTGAGCTTGTCTGGTCTGGTCTGGTCTGGTCAGGTCTGGTCCGGTCCGGTCCGGTCCGGTCCGGTCCGGTCTGGTCCAATCCGGTCCGGTCCAGTCCTGTCCGGTCCGGTCTGGTCCTGTCCGGTCTGGTCTGGTCTGGTCTGGTCTGGTCTGGTCTGATCTGGACTGGACTGGACTTGACTTGACGAGCATAGTGGGCTTTCACAGTTGTGTCTGATGATTGTGGGGGTTAGCGAGGGTGAGGTTGCTTTTAGCGGAGATAAGTGAAGGTGAGGCTGCTTATAGCCGTGATGAGTGAAGGTGAGGCTATTTATCGCAAGGATTAGCTCTATTCAGTGTACTTGGACGCCTTTACAGAGGAGGAGGGGGAATGCTCGAGAAGCACCTTCGTTTCCGCCCTCCCCCACTGAATGCAGGCTGGGGGTAAGTCCCGCGTTTGCGGAGGAGGGGGGGTGATTTGAAAACACTCCCTGTTCATCCCCCTCCTCGCCCCCTCCTCTCCCTCTCCCACTCCTCCAAATACACCCCTTGTTCTTTCCGCTTCCCCCCCACCAGATGCTGCTCCCTAGTGTTTGACATGAAGCGCCCTGAAGCGCTATTCGGCGTACCTGGGCGCATTCAAAGAGGAGGGGGGTGCGCTGATTACACCTTTTCTCTCCCCCCTCCTCCTCTCCCCTCTCCCCCTCCTCCAAATACACCCCTTGTTCTTTCCGCTTCCCCCCCACGAGATGCTGCTCCCTAGTGTTTGACATGAAGCGCCCTGAAGCGCTATTCGGCGTACCTGGGCGCATTCAAAGAGGAGGGGGGTGCGCTGATTACACCTTTTCTC